ACCCAGCACAGCGCGTCCTTCACGCACTCCATGAGGTAGGCCTCCTCCGCCATGTTGAGGGAGCGGTACGACACAGTCTCCTTCAGCAGGTTGGTCAGGGCCTTGCCGCCCAGGTTCAGCCGCTGCACGCCGCCTGGGGGGGGGGGGTGTGGACGGTCGTCGCCGAGAGCATATTGGGCGCAGACAATACATAAGCGTGGGTATGCACGCGTGTGCGCGCGGATTGTTCCATCCTGCTCGCCTCCGTCCGCAAACAGCCAAACCCCCCCCCCTCCCACCTGCCACGCTCAATCACAAGGTTTGCACCAGAACGACAGCCGGGTGCCCCAAGAAACGCTACCCTGGTACCCTCCCAAGCCACACCTGCGAGCAGCTGCCCGTTGAAAAAGGGCACCACGTTGCACGCGCTGAAGCCAATGTCGACAACCACACCGCAGCCCGCCGCGACCGCGGACTGCGCCGTCTTGTTAGGCGGCTGCGTGGTGCCGCTGCAGGCCGCGTTGAGGCTGAACCAAGGGGCGGGCGCGGTGAAGAAGCACTTGAAGCCAAACTGCTCAAACACCATCTGGGGGTGTGCAGGTGTGCAGGCGGTTGTGTGAGAGTTTGTGTGTGCATGAGTGCGTGCGTGCATGCGTGTGTTGTGTGTGTTTGTGGGCGCGCGTGTGAGTGCGTGTGCGAGCGCGCAATGGAGGGGATTTAATTATGCAGGTTCGGGGTAATCATCCAGGCCCGCATGCGCGGCCGGGTCGATGCCACGTCGCCCCTGCAGGCCACCCCGACGCCCCCACATCCCCTCCTGCTGCCCTGGGCTCACTGCCGCCCGCACCCAAACCCCTGCCGATCGTATCATCCGCCTTGAACCGCCCACCCACCTCCTCGGTCGCCGCCTGCACTGCTGGGAAGTTGAATATTGGCTCTGTCACCAGCAGCGCAGTGGAGGCCGGGTCCCACGCGCCGCTGGCGTTGCCAGGGCCCTTGGCCGACAGCGCCGCAGATTTGAACGCCTTCTGCCAGATCTCCTTTTCCAGGTCCCACTGCACCATGTAGCCCTGCGCCCGGTTGGCACGCGCGAAAACAAATGCAAGCAATTGTTGCAATGTGTGCGCCATACTGATAGCTCATCTGGGGACAACACTGACTTTGTCTTTCCACGCACAATCCCCGCCACCGTACCCAGCTGCGACACGAAACGAGCCCAGGTGTCTCTGGGTCCGTGCAGCGCTGCTGCTCCCACTACTTCTTGGCCTCGTCGCCCGCCCTCGCGCGCACCCTGTCAAAGGGCCGCCTCATGTTGAGGCTCATGATGTCCTTCGCATCCAGCAGGGCGTCACCCACGTACACCTGGCGCTCCCCCTTGGGCTTCGCGGTGCAGTTGGGGAACACGCTGGGGGGCAAGAGGGGAGGGGGAGGGGTGGGGGGTGGCGCGCAGGCCCACAGCTGCTGAGGCGGCCGCTCTCCGGGTGAGGCAGGGGCAAGAGGGCGCCCGGAGCCGCAGCCGGTGGGGCGGCAAGGCGCAGGACGTCGGCCGCTGTCGCATTCACAAACGCCCGCAAGCAGGGACAGAAAGCCAGGGTGTGTCACCGGGTGACCGCGCTTTCTTCCTTGCGTGCTCTACCCTCCTGCAGGTCACCCTCTCACATCCCTCTCACATCCGGGGCTTCTCCTCGCCAGCCCAGCCAAGCTTAATGTTCCCTGCACCATTGTCCATCACCAGCACTCGCTGCTCGCGCTGCGCCATGGCTGCTGCCAAGGAAGGCCTGCCCACAACCGAAGTCCTGCTGTGCTCTGCGCGCCGCCGCGGGTGGAGCCGCCCGCCGCAGTGCTTTGATGCACTCACTCACTCAGCCTAGAGGAATTGGGTGGCATCCTAGCATCACCCTTAGCATTAGTTTCTAGGTTTACCGCTACCAGTAAAGTATTGAGGTCACGCTTGCACTGTAGATCGCCGCTTGGAAAGTGTGTGAGCATCTAAAGATTTATAAATTCACACTCTTATGAATTCGAAGACATTGTTGAGTATTACGTTACACCAACCGCTCGAACGGGGGGACTCACTGGGCAGCACGCGTCGCACAACACCCGTACGCGGGGTCAATGACCCTCAGTTTCGAAATCCAGGCATCAAAACCACATATATCACATATTCCTAGCACTCATCGCAACCAGGCCTTACAGATCTGCGCGCCAAGCTGTGCTCTGATCTTGCTCACAATTGTGCGCATATAGCAGTAGAGAGATATTTATTGTCCACGTATCTGACGCTTGAGCCTTGGTACAGCAGCGCAGCAGCATGAACGCAGACGAGCCCACTCCACGCGTGGGATTTGCGCAGCTCAAGAACATGATAGGTCGCCGGGTGCTCTTTGTGGGCCGCGTGGAGAGCCAAGACGTTGGACGGGCGCACATGGCGGCGCCCGACGGTTCGAAGGTTGTGATCGAGGGCGCCAGCAGCGCGTTCGAGACGCAGTTTGCAGAGGTGCAAGGCGTCGTGGTCGACCCGACCACCATCCGAGAAGAATCACACGTCGACTTTGGGGAGAACTTTGGTGAGCAAACAGCGAGCAGCAAACTCCCTTGGCGAGGGTGCATGCGGGTGTGTGCACGCAGGGGGACGCCTAGCCTTGCTGGATGAACCCAGACCACAATGCTGGCCTGCCAATGGCAAGATGCGCTGCACCTTGAAGACAAGGTTGCGGCACGTGCAACTCCACACAATTTTCAAAGCGTGCATATGGCGCGTGCATTCTCCCGCCCTGTCGCCCGCTCACAACTCGCCTACACCCCTGCTGATTTTTGCAGACATGAACACATACAACGAGCTCTTGCGGCTGGCCAATGGCCCCCACCAGCAGATGTTTTACCAGTGACTGCGCCAAATACTTGCAAATGAGCGGGTGACTTGGCGTCCTGTCAACATGAGCTTGTAACCCACAGAACCCTGCAGCCACCCTGCCATTGCTGAGACATTTCCAGCTGTATGTGAACGTGTCGTGTTTCACCAGCATCCCTCTTTGCAACGTTGCAAGCCACATGGCCCTTGCATGCGTACCACGCGTGCCAATGGGGGTCCTAAGAAGACGACGGATGCACAACAGTCATTTACAACAACGCACCTGGCAGCTGCTCTTTCTCTGCGCCAACGAGCTGGCTTGCTGCCGCCAGTTTCTCTACTGGTGCTTCCTGATGCTGAGTCAGCGTTCTTACGGATCAGCTGCCACGCTCCCTTGCCTGCCTCTGGCCCTGCCCTGCATACCATTATAGATGCACCACAGTCAACAGCAGGACCTCAAGATGACAGCAGCTGAGGGTTGGTGGGGATGCATGGGACCTGACATCGGCAAGCTGCTTGCAAGCAGTCATGTACTCTCGACTTACAGAAATGAAATGGCGTGCATAAAGCAGCAGCCTTGTGGCTCCGGATGGCACAAGGAACTAATTGGGTGGCACGGCTGCTGCACAGCTGCGACGGCACCACAGAAGTTGGCGTGGTGCATGCTGCGCCCTCTTCATACCCCCTACCTATGAACTCTCATCACGCGGCCAAAAGACCGCGAAAATTCAGCCTCACCTGCGCCAGAAACATGCAATACAAATCATGCATGCGGCAGGCAGGCCGTTTTTGCGCCGTGCCGTGTGCGTGCCGCCCTGCGCTTCGCTATTCAGCTTTCGCTACTCCTGCACCTTCAAGTGGGTGCGTCTCCAGTCGTCAGCAAAGATGTACTGGTGGCGGTTGTCTGATGCCAGGTACTCCTTGATGCCTGTTCGTGTTGATTGGACAAAGCAAAGGATCAGGAACTAAATGCGTATGTCAGCGACAGAATATCTGAAGCCGCTGAATGCGTTTTCTGCGTTCTGCGCCCGCAATTCAGGTGGACCCCGGCCCAAGGTCCCATACAAGCTGTGCAGCAAAAACCAACCGCCACGCTCTATTTCAGCGGCGCATCACAGCCCCCACGATTCCACCCTCTCGTTGAGAGCCTGCCACAGTCGCACATGATTGCCCCATGCGCTCAATCAGAGCCCGCACCTGCGTGGCCAGCGACGCGGCGGTGGTGCGCCACAAGCGCCGGGAAGCGCTTCTTCACGACCCCTGACAGGTCGGGCACTGCAGGATTGGGGTGGATCCGAGCAGCGCAACAGTTCACGTCTAGTCACTCCCGCTCACAGACCTTCCCAGCGTGTTAGCCCATTGGTCCTGGCCACCCTTGGTCAGCCCCTGCTCGTGCGCTTGACAACTACAAGGACCTGAATGAGCATACTATAACCAAACAGGCGCAGCATCAACGCATGAAAGCTGCGGCGCCCTAACGCCACGCACATGCCAGGTGTATATCCACCAGGTCGAAGGCGGTGATGTCAGCGATGGTCAGTTTAGAGCAGCCCCCAAGCCACGGGCCATCGTCTGCATTGTCCACCGCCTGGCTCACAGGCAAGAGGTTTGGTGTTGATTGATGTTTCATGTTGAAGTTTTGGCAACACGGTTGGCAGAGCGCTCGAAGGGCGGGCGAGGTGTCACCGCGCAAGCCCGACGTGCAACGCAATGCTTAGAGCGGTGCGGTGTTGGGCACCAGTAGCTGCCATGCATGCAAGTGCTTTGTCGGCATCGCGTGATTCGATGACACTTGCGCCCCAGGCCCACGCCATGAGCGCCTTGAACGGCAGGCGCGCTTGCAGTGCGCACAGAACGAATGTATGTGAGGGAGCCCACCAGGCGCTCGAGGCAGGCCAGCCCCGGGCCCTTCAGAGGGAAGCCCTCCGAGACCACATCGGACTCGGACGCGAGCGAAGTGGCGACGTAGTCAGCAGTAGCGTTTGGGGCGCCCTTATTGACCCAGTAAGCCTAGAATCCAGCGGGTTGGCACGCGCAGGGGAGGGGAGGCGAGGAGGTGTTTTTATGATTCGATGTATTGTTGGGTGCCTTGCCCAGGTGAGCGTCACCGCAGCCAACACGTGTGCACAGACACACGCTTGAGGCGGGGGGCCAGCACATGCCGCGGCGCAGAAGAAATTGCATCAATTGTTGGGCCCTAGGACTGACCTTCAGCTTGGCCCTCAAGTCCTGCACACCCTCCACGACCTCCAGGCGAACGTGAGGGGACAAGGCCGGTGCGGCAACAGGGCGGCCAAGAGGTGATAGTCATGCTAAGGAGGGACAGGAGAGCGAGTGAATGACGTGTCCGGCTGCGCTGCCAACCGCCCCCTGCTTGAGCAACCAAACTGATAGCTGAGGGAAGCCTGGAGTCCTCCAGCCAACAGAGAGGCCGGGCTCCACCCACCATGTCGACAAAGGCCGACTCCTCCTCGTCGCCGCCGTAGAGGGAAAACTTGCGCGCTACGTGGCGCAGGATGGCCTGGCGTCAGGACAGGGGTGGCGGGTGGGGCAGCACAACGAAGGTCTGATTGTGCAGCTGTATGCAGCAGCCAGAAAGTGGCTGGGGGGTTGCAAGGTCTGGTGCATGCCAGAATTGGCCGATTGCAGGCATGCGACCTACTTCAGACCCCAACGTGGGCGCCCGCTCATGCATGTGCGTGTCTGCCGTGCACGCACACATACAGGTGCACGCGCGTCCCCACCATGGACTGCACAATGTCGATCTTGCCGTTGACCTCGTCGATGAAGCGCGGCAGCTGCCTGCGACCCAATGCAGTGGCACGAGCTCGCGTCATGGACGGCCGGTACCACGCAGATATAAGAAAGAAAGTGGTGCATGGTTCCTGTTGGCCCGCTAGGCACCCCATTGCAGGGCGGTCAGCGGCCGCTGGAGGGCCATCCCCCCCACTGCGATTGTCGCACCCAAGCATCTGCGCCCTGCTGGCTGCCCTCACCTGAAAGTGTAGCCGTCCAGCTGGCGGCGCAAGAGCGGCAGGATGGGGCCGACTGGAGGCTCAAACCATTCCTGGCGCGCGCATGCCAGCGCCAGGCTTGGCAAGGGGTCGAGTACGACGAGATACACAAACATGATGTTTTTGTTGAAGCCCAGGTTGAAGTGCAGCAGGGATTGCAGGGAAGGGGAAGGCAGCAAGGGGCCAACAGCATGCCGCGACCAGTGCGCTCGCCGCACAGCTGCAATGGCATGAAAGGGCTGAGCGCGCCGCGCTGATCGCTGCCAGCTTGCCGGGCTGGAGCCAGGCTGGCCCCTGGAGCGCAACCCAGCTCAGTCTGTGTGCTGCCGCCTCACCGTATGGGCTCCGCCCGCCCTCTGGCTGGAAAGTACTGCGGCGCATGCAAGTGAAGTGAAAGCACGCCTTAACTACCTGGGGAGTCGTATTCAGCCGTCACCGTCTCACCAGGGGCAGTGGCACGTGTGCGGCAAATAGCAGAGTGCTTAAAGCAAGTGGGTTATCCCTGACCATACCCGTGAGTGCAGTGGTTGCGCGGCGGCCGGCCATGTCAGGCCAAAAACAAGAGCGGGCTGGCTGCGACCATTGAGTGTGGTGGTGTCACCCCACGGGCGCTGCGCGCTTGACGTTGCGCCCACCTGCAGCACCGGCAGGTTTGACGTGGACGCCGAGTAGGGCCCCTCCTCGGCCACAAAGGTGTGCCCGTCCTCGTGCAGCATGGCGGCTGGCCTACACAGCTGGGCGCTTTCGTGTTTCAGGTGCAGAGTGCTTCAGCAGGGTGGCGCGCCCCTGGTCGTGTGGTGGCTCCGGTGACAGAGCTGTAGCTGCATGTGAGTGCCTATGAGAAGCGGCACCGTCCTAACTGCGAATGGATCACTTTCCACCAGTGCCTGGAATCAGACAGGTTTCAAGTGTGAGTGTGCGCACTTGTATTACGTGTGAACATGATTACCACGTTGTTCTCGGTAGTTGTGTTTGATTGAACAGGCACGTGGCAAACTCACCGAGTGCAAGCCAGATCGCTTCGCCAGGGTTGATAGCGGCGGAGCCTCAGCTTCGGTAAGCATCGCTACGCTAGGATTGTGACAGATGCAGCACAGCTGCTGCTGACACAGGAGACGGAGGAGGTTCAGGGGTGGCACAGCTGAACAGCAGCAGGCAAACGAGCCTCAGCGAGCGCTGGTTCTCTTTCTAGATGGGAAAACAACCCCATTGAGATGCGATGCAGCTACATGGCACGCAACAGCATTGCCTGGGATCGCACACCGCCCGGCAGCGCGCTTCCGCGATGGCAAGTGTGCGTCCAGCACGCGCAACCCTGCCGTCCCCCTGCTCCGGCATCTGCCTACGCAGGGTCATCGTCAGCGCTTTGGCGACCGTGCGGGTGGCAGCGGAAGCGCCGAAGCTGCGCCGGTTGAGCCAGCAGGGGCCATGCAGCTCGTCAGCAATGCCCTGGCGCAGGAGTGCGCCATGGGCGCACTCATGGTGCGCGGCTTCCGGGGCATCCACGGGGGCAGGGCCCTGAATCATGCAGCAGTTGTTTATTCGATGAAATAGCATTCTGAAGCAAGTTTTTTCCTTGGACAATGCTGCAGCACAGTGTGCTGAACCACAGTTTCCCGCGGGTGTTTCCGCCCCTCCTTTTTACTGACAAAGGTGGGCTACTTCATGTATTACTACGAGTCTTGGGTGCTGCCTGCGCTGATGCGCCAGGAGAAGATGCAGTACAAGTGAGTCATTGGGTGGTCGCGGCTGCGGCTCAGCGACTGCAGTCACACCCATTTTGTGCCCAGGCAGCTGCAAGTGCCGCCACAGATGAGGGAATCCATGTACCCCTTTCAAGGGGTTGGCATGCACGCAGTAATCGCCTCCAAAATGTACACAGCACGCACGTCTCACACACCCACACATGTGCACGTGCGTGCGCGTGCACACGCCATACACACACACGTGCACACACACACACACACACACACACACACGCACACGCACACACTTGCAACCATCTTCTCCCGCTTGAACGGCCACCCACACCAGCTGGAGCGCGGCCTGGAAGAAGTACCACGAGAACATCTGGCGCCTCAACACCGCCTACGACCGGGAGCTGCGCTACAGCGCCATCTCCAAGAACCTGCTGCTGCAGCACGTCAACCACACGCCCCCCAAGGACGTCGCCGAGCACGTGACCAAGATGATCCTGGCCAACCGCAAGGTCTACGACGCGCTCGCGCCCGGCAGCAAGCGCCTGCTCATCTGGCAGGTGCAGCCCGCGCTGCAGTAGGAGGGACGCGCTTCATTCAGGCGCTCCGCGGGCCGCCGGCAGGACTGCGAGGGGGTGCTGCCACCGAGCGCTGCCCTTCAGCGCAACGCCGGCGTTGCAACCGCTGGCTTATCTCCCGGACGCGATCTCCTCATTTGCGGGTGGGGGGCGTGCCGGCTTTGTTGTGGATTGCCATGCTGGCGATGTCGACCCACACTGGGCCCTAATAGGCGCAGCAGCAGTGGTCAACTCAAATCGAGTAATGCTGATGATCCCTTTGCCTCTGCTGGAGACTTGAAGATACAGAAAAAGCGCCAGGGTCAAGCCAGCGCGATAAGCAAGCCAATTTGCTGGGATGCGCTGCATGCGAAGCAGTGATGCACCGGGCACGGCCCCGCCAATGCAAAAGCCCCTCGCGGCAGCTGCGTCGCTGGTACGGCACACATGAGGGGCGCTGGTACGGCACACGTGAGGGGCGCGATGCCAGGGCAGGAATGTTGGTGCCCTTGCTTGCTGAATTCGTTCGTAGTGGCATACTATACAAGTACGTAAGGTATGGCTAGGTGCGCCATGATAAAGTTGATCGGCCACCACGACTCCGTTCTGTGTCTAGCAGTCTGTTCACAGGAAGGGCTATTGGCTTCCGGGTCAGAGGTGAGGATTTTGCAAGTACAGCTCGGAGGTGGAGGTTGTTGGTTGCTCAGCCGCCTGCAGTTGCCGGTTTCACGCCAGCAGCTGAGCTCGGCCGCCTCAGTCTCGTCCTGTTGCTCTCTGTGATTCCGGCGCTGCAGGACGGCCACATCGCAATTCATGACGTCGCCGCCGCCTGCAGCTCTGGGAACGCCTCAGCCACAGCACCTGCCCTGGTGTGGCGGCTGGGTGAAGGCGGGGCGAACGACGGCGGCGCGGCCGCCCCTGTAGCCGATGAAAACGCAGCAGCCGAGGCAGTCAACGCAGTGGCCTTCCATCCAAAGGACTCTCACACCTTGTTTGCAGCCGTGGGCTCCCAAGTGCTGCAGTTCTACGTCCGCCGAAGTGCTGGTGCAGAGCTCCGTGGGACCACCCTGGTCAACTCCGCAGGCGATGAGGTCAACGATATTTCCGTGCACCACCAGGGCAGCTTTCTGGCAGCTGCTGACGACGGTGGTGACATCACGGTCTTTGACCTGCGAGGCGGCGGCGGCAGCAGCAGTGGCAGCAGTGGTGGCAGCAGCAGCGCCTTGAAGCCGCTACGCGTGATTCGTGGGGCGCATCAACCAATCGCATCGTGCGTCGCGTTCCGCCGCCACCGGCCTTGGGAGCTGCTGAGCGGCGGCATGGACGCGCGAGCAGCACGATGGGACTTCTCGCGCGGCGCGCTACTGGGCGCGTGGTCAATGCAGCGGGGCGCTGGGGCCGGCGATGCATTAGCGCGGCCTGAGGCGGCGCCGCAGGTGTGCAACCCGCCCATGGTGCATGCCCTCACGGCGCCACTTGGCGACAGCCCAGCGGCGCGGCGGCTCGCGGCGGCGGCATGCGGGGACGGCGCGGTGGCGGTGTTCAGCATTGAGGACAGCAGCGGCGGCGGGAAGAGGCCAGCCAGGCAGCGGCCGCAGCAGCGGCAGCAACAGGCGCGGGCCGCTGTCGCTTATGAGGGACAGGACGTGTCGCTTGCCCTTGACCGCGAGCTCAGCGGCCACACGCGGCCGGCGTCAGCAGTGTGCTTTCTGGCTGCTGCCGGTGGCGCGCGCTACATTGCTTCAGGGGGCGAAGACCGGCGGTTGGTTGTCTGGGACTGGCAGGCGGCATTGTTGGACGAAGGGGCGGAATTGGCAGGGGTGCAGAGCAGCGCGAGCGGTCGCGCCCAAGCTGTGGACAAGGCAGTGACCGCGGCGGAGCAAAGGCTGGCTGCGGAAGCAAAGCCGCAATCAGCGGCACAGACAGAGCAGGAGCAGCAACGGCAGAAGCCGCAGCAGCAGCAGCAGCAGCAGCAGCAGCAGCAGCAGCAGCAGCAGCAGCAGCAGCAGCAGCAGCAGCAGCAGCAGCAGCATTCGGAAGCAGCTCCGCCTGTATCCACAGCATCAGCCTTTCCGCAGAGGCGAACGCGAGCGCCTGCGCTTGTCCTGTCAGCTTCACCGGCGCCTGACCCAGGTGCAGGGGCGAACGCAGCCGTCTGGACGCACGACCACGGCCGAAAGATCAACGCCGTGGCCAGCCTGCGCTGCGATGTGACATCAGGAGCAGGCAAGGAGCAGCAGCAGCGTACCTGCGAGTACATGTGTGTTGCTGACACTTCAAAACAAGTGACGTTGTACGCTGTCCGACTGCAATGAGTGTACCTGCCCTATTGAACGATTCAGCTTAAGACGTTATCACAGCCTCATTGCACCTGCAGCATCGTCAATGCACATGTGCAAGCTACGCCCGCGCCACAACGTACGCTCTCATGCCACCGCAAAAAAAGGGCCCAGTAACAGCTGTGCCATGATTTCGCAGCACCACACTAGTCGTTGCGGCACAACAGAGTGCCCAGCAGGCTGTTACTAGGCAGCCATGCAATCTCCAACAGACAGCAGCGCGCATGAATCGAGATGATGGCTGGAAGCGCGGCGTTACACTCTTCAAGGGCAGGGCAAGCCGCAAAAGGAAGGCTCGGCGGAGGGCGCTAGAGGCGACCGTGCGCGCAGGGCACGAGCCGCCGCTGTAGCCCAGGCTGCCATTCGCAAAGTAGTAGCCCGGGAGATGCCGGCGCCCAGTCACAACCGAACACATGCACATGTCAAAAGGTCATTAAGTGGTTGGGCGCGCGCACGCGCGCGTTGGCGCCCCGCAAGAGGGGCACGGCCGCTGGCGCGCCGCGGCCTGGTCAAATCGTTGCGCGTGACATGCAGCAGCGGGGGCCGTGCGCGCCCGCGAGCAGGGCGCGTATCCGCTGCAGAAGCGCGAGCCAAGAAGCGGGAGGGCCCGACGCAAGTCTGCCCTGTGCAGCGCGTGACGGCACGGGTGGTGCAGTGCAGCGAGCCGGGGTCTCGCTCTCGGCGGCGCCCAGCGTAATCATCTGCACACACGCAAGCAGCCCAACCGCCCCTTCCAAGCTGAGAAATTCCGCTGACCTCGGCCGATCGCCGGGCCGCCAACGAGAGACCCACCAGCGCCGCCCTCCCGCTTAACCCGCCCGCCGCCAGCCACCCGCAGCAGCGGCGCTGCGAGTCCTCGCCGCAGCCCGGCAGCCACCGCAGGCGCTGCGGCGGCGGGGCGTGCGCCGGCGAGCCGTCTACGAGTCGCCGTCGTCCGCCTTGAGGTCGCCGCCCTCACGTGGCTGGTCGGCGTCCTGGAGTAGGATCGACAGGCAGGGCAGGAGGAGGTGGGGCCGTGCACGGGCACACCCGAATCGATTACTTAATCGATGCTCCTCGCTGGCCCAGCACAATGATGCGTCGAGCTTTGTTCTTATATATCTCTGCTGCCCCTAGTGCAAGCCTGCCGTGTGATTGATGTTTGCACCATCCTGCCAAATGCACACATGCTGCGCACGTCCCCACCTGCATGTCAGAGGTCCAGAGCGTGAGGTTGTCCCGCAGCAGCTGCATGATGAGGGTGCTGTCCTTGTAGGACTCCTCGCCCAGGGTGTCCAGCTCCGCGATGGCCTCGTCAAACGCCTGGCGGGCGGGGGAGCGGCAGCGATGATCGTACAACCGCCGTGCTGCTGTGCCATCACAAGGAAACACCAAAGTGAGCGCAGGAGGCCGGGGACGCCGCGAGACCAACTTAGGCAGCATCGACCTAAGGGCGCCACCATTTCAACTGGTCCAAAACACTTGAGGCTTCATGCTGCAACCTCCCGAGCGCTGCGCCGTCCATACGAGTATAAGAGCCTGTTACGGCCTGGACAGGAGCGCGCAACCACTGCTAGTATCCAACCCGCTGCTGCAGACCACAACCGCCTGCCGCGGGCGAGTCGGCTCCCATTCCAGCGCGGCATGGCACCGCACCGAACAAGGTTTGTGCGCACCTGCTTCGCCAGGTGGCACGCGCGCTCGGGCGAGTTGAGGATTTCATAGTAGAAGACGGAGAAGTTGAGCGCCAGGCCCAGGCGGATGGGGTGTGTGGGCGCGAGGTCCACGAGCGCGATGTCCTGCGAGCGCGTCGCGTGAGCGAAAGAGAGTTGACGCACTGCTAGCAGCCGTGGGGCACAAAGCATCCCGCGCCAAGTCCTTGATTGCCTGCTGCCCGCGACTGTATTTGGTGTCTGCCTCCGCGCATTGTTGTGCAAGTTGTACGAATACCTGCCAGCCCCGCAGCCTCTGACCCAAGCAGCTGCTGGGCAGAGCACGACTGCATTGCTGCTGCCATGTGGCTGCGCCGAAGCATAAAGTAGGGTGCTGCACTTAGCAGCGCTGCAGCCACAAGCAGCACAGCACCACACCATGCATGCGGCGCCTGATCAAGACCGTGCTGTCCTCAACGTGCCTTGGCACCTGCTTGCATGCGCCCATGCCAAGCCAACTTGCTGCGTTGCCATGCCCGTTGTGAGCCCACCGCCTCTGCGGCTGGCACACACCTGCGCAGCCTTGTACGCCAGCAGGGTGTGCTCCGCCGCCTCCTTGCGGTCCGCGCCCGTCTTAAACTCAGCCAGGTAGCGGTGGTAGTCGCCCTAAGCCACGAAGCCGTGTGGCATCCATTGCAAGTTGCATTGGTCAAAAGCTGAGTCAAACCAGGGGTGTGGCGTTGCCAGACACAGCCATGCCAACCGCGCTGCTTTTCGCCCGCCAGAACGGGTGCTTCACATCTCCATTGAGGCCTCCACGCACACCTGGCCCTGTCAAAGCCATCACTTCAGGGCCATGATTGCTGCGAAGCGCTCATGGCAACCTGTGCATGTGCCCACCCGGGCCCGCAGCTCCACACACACCTTCATCTTGAGGTAAAAGACCTTGCTCTCGCCGGAGGACGCAGTGGGGATAAGGTGCTCGTCCAGCAGCTGCAGGATGCTCGCGCAGATCTCGCTAAGCTCCTTCTCGACCTGGTCAAACGGGGGGATAGGGCCCAAGCAGCCGATACCATCGTCGAATACGCGTTCCTGCAGGAACGATTGGGGGCTCGCACCCCAGGCAGGGGCACCCACCAACGTGGCAGGTCATGCGGGTGGGTCTCCTCGAGCCCCAACCGGGGGCCTGCCACAGGATATGCTCGATAACACCGTACAAGGATCAGGCGCCACGCATGCCCAGTCTGCCGGGCCTGTGTGGGCGGCAGAAATGATCTGACGGAACACACACTGCAACTCACCACAGCGCGGTACTTCTTGATCCTGTTGACGTGCTCCTCGTTGCCCTTGCTCTCCTCCTTCTGCTCTATGCTGCTGATGATGCGCCAGGAGGCGCGGCGGGCCCCGATAACGTTCTTGTAGGCAACACTGAGCAGGTTGCGCTCCTCCACGGACAGCTCCTGATCGTGCACCATCTTGGCGACCTTCTGCATCTCCTCCACCATCTCGTCGTAGCGCTCGGCCTGGTTCAAAGGGGCCCAGCTCGGTCTGAGCTGGGGTGTGCTGGCGCGGACCTCCCGTGCTCGGCCAGCGCAGGCGCCACGCCAGACTGCCATGCCCCAGAGCACCCTGAAACCAGCCCACCTGCTCGGCCAGCTTGGCGAGGTACACTGCCTCCTCGCGATCCATGTTTGCTGCTGCGCCTGGGGGCTCTGCGACCAGCTGAGGGTGTTCACAACTTCGCAGAAAGCCTCCTTGTATCGCGGGGTATGCGCCAGACCTCGATTGAGCGATCCAGAGGAAGGAAATGGCATTCGGCAGCAGAAGAAGGCCGGGCAAAGAAAAGCATGAACAGTGAACACGCGCAGTGCCCCGTGGCTTCTAGGGCCCACATCATATTTATGACGCTCGTACCGGCGTTTTAATCAACACAACGTCAGCACAAGCTTGCATGCGTGTGCCTCATGCGTGTGTGCCTGCGGGCAGCGCCTCGCTGGCCGCGCGTCAGACCTTGCCCTGCGTGCTGCCCGTGCATGTGGTAGGCTGTTTCGGCCCTACTTCAATGATGGCTCATTGCATGGGGCCTGACCGGTTTGCATGGTGCGGCGGCAGCTGGCTGTTGGGAAGTGCAGGCGTTGAGGAGTGAAAGGCCTTGTTGAGTCGCACAGCTGGCAGGCTGCGTTTGAGGGTGGTGAGGGGTGCGGGAAGAGGTGCCACACCCATTGGCACCGCTTGAGAGGGGGCCTGGCAAGGTTAAGCAACTCTTGGCAGCTTTGGGGGCTTCTGGATTTTTTTCGATTTATCTTTAGAATGCCTCCCTAGGTCAGGGCCGCTGCTGCCGCCGGGTTGCATGTGGACTAGCCTCCACCTTAGCACCAGACCTGCGAGCACAAAGATATCGATGTGTTGTGGCTTTCAATTGCATCTGTCAGGTTGTTATCAAGCTGCATGGGGTCTAATCAAGGTCAGCAAACATTGCAGCAGCAGCAGCAGCAGCAGCAGCAGCAGCAGCAGCAGCAGCAGCAGCAGCAGCAGCAGCAGCAGCAGCAGCAGCAGCAGCAGCAGCAGCAGCACCCGCACCAAGACCCTGTGCCTGAATGCAGATATGAGTGGACGCGCCTGCCCTGTTTGTTTGGCTGCACCAGCGAGCCTCACGGATATTGTAGGACTGTGCTTTAATCGTGCACTAGCTTGCTGTGTTGGGAGAAAGGAAGGTGCCATTCGTTATGGCTGCATAATACAAATGGGCATTAGCAATGTGCAAACATTGTGCGCCGCTCAGACGTCACCTCGCGGGTGTGGCACGATACCTCAAAATCATCCTTGGGCCGAGCAGTCCGCCGACAAGCAGCCACCAAGAGCGCAAAAGCCAAGTTCCCCTCAGCAGACCTCACAGCATTCTCAGCATACTGAAACAATAGGCTGGCAATTGGTGCTTGTATCCAGCATTCATTCACAACTGCCACGCACTACGTGACGGTTGCCAGGATGGCTGGCCACGCCTGCCACACAGTTTTTGCCCGCCCTCGCAACTGCTGTTGCTCCTGTGACGAGCCACGCACGTTGCAGAAACGCCATCCACATTTACTTGCAGCTATCACACCAGTCTCCTCGCTGTTGAGACACAACCCCTCTCTGTTAAGCCTGTGGGCAATGGTCCGCCGGTTGCACAAGTGCAGCGTTGAGGTTTTGTCCACTTCCCACCAGCAGGCACGGTCCTCCACCCAGTCAAACCCACGTCCGGTGGATCCCGTCTGGAAGAGACAGGCACCATTATCGAGTGTTTGTGGCTTGCTGGCTTGCATTGCTCATGCAGCACCAGTACTGACTAGACTTGTGGCAACACCACGGGCGACACAACGCCGGCAACTGCCTCCTGCCCCGAGCGCCTCCACAGCCAAGGCCACGAGCCGCAGGGCTCATACATATGCATGAAATATCGAATACCAGCTTGCACGCTCGTCTCAGAGCGCGTTTTCGTCTCATGATCGTTGCGATCTGCTTGTGTAGCATCATTGCTGCTAAAATGCAGGCTGCCCATTCGAGGGCATGATTGTGAAATAAGTCAAATCACGCCGGGCCTCCAATTCCGAAGCCAGAGTGCAACAGACCCCGCAGCTGCAAGATGGAGCCCGCGACGCCGACCACGCGCGCGCAGCGCGACCTGGAGACGCGCATCGCGTCGATCTATCGCGACCTCGCTGACCTGGACGCCACCGGCCGCGTCCACCGCGTGCACCGCGGCGACGACGCGCTGCCCCTGCAGCGCGACCGCCACGCCCGCTACGCCGCCGCGGGGCTCGGGCGGCTGCCGGCCGGCTTCTCTTCGCTCGACGCGAGCCGCCCCTGGATTGTTTACTGGGTCCTCCACTCCCTGGCGCTCCTACGCGCCCCGCTGCCAGATGGGATTGAATCCAGCGACGTCGTGGCGTTCCTGTCCGCCTGCAAGGCCGCCGGCGGCGGCTACGGCGGCGGGCCGGGCCAGATGGCGCACCTGGCGCCGACGTACGCGGCCGTTTGCGCGCTGCTGACGCTCGGCGGCGACGAGGCGCTCGCCAGCGTGGACCGGCCGGCGGTGGCGGGGTTCTTGCGGCGGATGGTGGTGCCGCCGGAGCGCGGCGGCGGCTTCACGATGCACGATGGTGGGCGCATGGCGGGCGAGGCGGATGCGGGGCGCCGCGGCAGGCAGGGCGGTGCTGTCCCCTCCTCTTACGGAGTGAGGGGGCCGAATGCCGCAGCCAGGGGCTGGATTGCTAAGAGCTGGGCGCTTTGTTTGCTGCTGAGCCCAACCTAGGAGCTTAAGAATCAAATCTGCTGCAGCGGGGTGCGAACCAAGAAGCTTCCCGCTGGCCCGGGCCTCAAACTCGCCCCGCGCCCCTGCCCCGGACAGGCGGCGAGGCGGACGCGCGCGCCTGCTACACGGCGATCGCGGTGGCCACGGCCTTGCACCTGGATGTGGAGGGGCTGGCGGCAGACTCAGGGGTGGTGGGTTACCTACAGCGCTGCCAGGTGAGACGGGCCAGCTGCTCCTATCGAGCCCCTTTTCAGGGTTTCTGCCACTCACTGGTGGCGGCAGGGCTCGACTGCCGCCGGCAGCCAGCGATCATGTTGGCGCTGAAAAGTTCTGTCGCGCCGCCCCGCGTCACTGACTGAGGGCTTTGTTGGGGACCTTCCGTGTGATTGAGCACCGACAGCAGCGAGCCTGCCGCCGCGCCCGCGCAGACGGTCGAGGGCGGCCTCGGCGGCGAGCCCGGCAACGAGGCGCACGGCGGCTACACGTACTGCGGCGCCGCGGCGCTGGCGCTGCTGGGCCGCCTCTCCGCGCTCGACCTGCCGCGCCTCGCGCGATGGGTCGCGCAGCGCCAGGGCACGGTGGAGGGCGGCTTCAACGGGCGCACCAACAAGCTCGTCGACGGCTGCTACTCCTGGTGGCAGGGGGGCGTCATGCCGCTGCTGGCGGCGGAGCGGCAGCTGCTGATACGGCAGGCGCTGGCGGTCGGGCCGCCGGTGGAGGGGGACGCGGACCTGCAGGTGCCGGCGCTGCCCAGCCTGGGGGGCGTGGTCACCCCTTATGATGAGGTGAGGGCCTGTTGGGAGATTTGGGTTGGGCCCGTCTAATGGGGGAGGGGGAAGCAGGTAAGTGCTGTGCCGTTGAGCGTCGCATCTGCTTGCCTGCTCGCACCTGCCGAGAGCCCACAGACAGGTTGGCGCACGCGTGCATGTGCAGGTGCGACCCAGCGTTTCAAGTGTTGCATCGCACTGCTTGTTGTGACTACCCCCTGACTAACTCCCAGTCACCCGTTCACATGCCACACCTCGCCCAGGCCTGCAGGGGGAGTGATCGCGCGAACGACAAGGCCGAGCTGCTGCTGGAGCAAGCCCTGGCGGCAGAGGCTGATGTCAAACAGCAGCGGCGGCAACAGCAGCAGCAGCAGCAGCAGCAGCAGCAGCAGCAGCAGCAGCAGGATCCTGCAAGCAAGGGGACTGGCGGCGCGGCAGACTCGCATGCGGCGGGCAGCTTGGATGAGGCCGAGGCGCGGTCGCGGTTGCTCTTGAAGCAGGCGGAGGAGGCGCAGCGGGTGAGGGCGCAATCGCGCTCACAACAGCTTTGCGCCTGTCAAGCCGGGCAGCTGAGTGCTTAATGAAGGGCCAGCATGCCCATGCGGCTGCAGTCAAAGCCTGGAGCCCCATCTTTTCATACGGTACAAACAGTGCACGTGGGCTGTTGCGTGCACCAACAGCAAGCCCACACACTTCCAGCCTCTGAACTCCCTTTTGCACTGCGCCGTTGGGCGCGCCCCCCACAATCCCCATAACCCAACGGACCCGCACAATTTCACAGGTGGCAGAGGAGGCGGACTTGATCATGGAGATCGCCCAGTACAGCGCAGCCCAGCTGTTCGTTTGCTTCGAGGGCGAGGGCTCCCGTGCTCAGGATGAGACGCAGCAGCAGGAGCCCGCCGCTGGCGGCAGCAGCAGCAGCGGCGCAGCTGCAGCGGCGGGCGCGCAGGGGCAGGGGCGGGGGCGGCCCGCCGCGCTGTTTGATACGGATGCGCTGCAGGTGTGGGTCCTGAAGGGCTGCCAGCAGCAGCTCAAGGGCGGCCTGCGCGACAAGCCCGGCAAGCCGCCGGACTACTACCACACCTGCTACTGCCTGAGCGGCCTGTCCGCGGCGCAGCACGCGGAGGGCGGCGGCGGCGTGCTGGGCGCGGCGGGGAACCAGCTGCGGAAGGCGAGCCCGCTGCTGAACGTGCTGGAGGAGAAGGTGGAGGCGGCGGCTGTGTACTTTGGCTCGCTGCCTCGGATCTGACCTAGAGCCTGATCTGGCTCGATCTGTCCTGACCTGGATTGCTGGTGTCCCCAGATGCTTTCCGGCGGCTGGCTGGTTAAATTCATGGTTGCATCACATGCAGCCCATTCGCGGTCAGCTGTAGTTTTGAGCCGTGTCGCGAGACCTGCAAGTTGACCTTTGGTTTCTCTATTACTTTACAAAGTGCCTTGCTCTTTTGCAGCGGCGGCACGCTGTTGTACAACTGCAACTCGAGGCTCCCAGCGTTGACTGCAGGCAGCGTCCGCTGCGGCCAGCCGGCTCAGCACCTCGCGTGTGCGGCGCGGCTTGACTGTGTCGCGGGGGTTCCGGTGGTCCCGGATGCAAGGGGAACCCCGTGCTATGCAACGGCGCGCCAACAACGTCAGGCACGGCCGCCGCGGCGGAGCAGGCTGGGTGCATCGACCAGATACAGTGAATGTGTGCGCACCAGGCTGAGCGGTTTGGACCGTTTGGCAGTGACTCTGGGCATGAGTCCCAGAAATGCCGGAAGATGTCGAGATTGCGGGGAGCTGTCGCCGACAAAAACTGCGGTGCCGCCCCCCAAAACGTTGGCGGGCGCTTGGCAGCAGCGACTGCTGTGGGATTGCGCGCTCCTGCGACACGGCCGTGCCCGTTGCAGGGTGCGGCGTGCGTCGAGCGGAGGGGTGCGTGGCAGGGCGGGTGAGGGGCACAAGACGCAGAAAGGGTAGGAAGCCAGGGATGCGACCCTCGCATCCGTGGCTCAACGGGCCTGCACAGAGTTGTTGTTGGCCTTGATGCGTCAACTATCGACGACAGCGGGGCCGTCGCCTTTGCCGTGAAAAAACCCACAAAGACTTCGCGGGGCGCTAGCTGCATGCTCGTTGATCCCCTAGCCCTTGCATGTGTGTGTTGGGGGAACTTAGCACAGGTCAAGGTGCCCGCCGCGGCGGCGGCGGCACGCACGCGATTGGCGCGCGGCGGGCGTCTGGCGTGCGGTTGCGTGCAGCACAGCGCCCCGGAACCGGGTGCGGTCGCTCCAGCCGGGACCCCGCGCGCCATGATCTGCAGGCGCGATCCAGCGACGCCCCTGTCAAGCCGAATGCAAAGGGCGCAACGTGCAGCAAAACCGCGAGGACGGCCTGGCCACACAAGTGCTGCGATTATGCAGGGAGGGCAGGGCAAAGCCACTCGGGACGGGGCAGTGCCCTTGACCAGATTCAAGCGCGCGTCCAGCAACCACCCCCTGTGCGGGGGACACCATTCGCCCACTTCAACCATTCTCTCTCGTGGCTGGCTAATGGCGCCGCACCCGTGCCACTTTTGACTTGCCTCGCGCTGGCCACGCCTGCGCCACTGCCGGCAGGCCCCGCAATGTCACAAAGTGAGCAACAGCCGCGGGCGGCGCCAGTACGCGCGGACGCATGCGCAAAACAGTGCCCGGCGGGCCGCGCTCTGAATGCAGAGCGCCGGCAGCGCGACGTTTGAACCGCACGGCGCGGTATGGAGTCATGACATCATCGCATCATCAGGGACAGATTGGCGACCTATCTAGGTGCAACTCACGGGTGCAGCCATGCGCCCACAACTGGCAGGCAAGCCTCGAGCCCTGTCGTTTTTTGCCCCTACACACGGCCCGCCTGTGGCGTGCACGTGCAGGCGCGGGCGCGCTGAGTCAGCACAACCGCCGCCAATTCAGCCGACGACGGTCAGCGGCGCGCGCGGGCGCCCCGGCTCGACCTTGTCCCGCCACGCGTCCCAGAGCGCGCGCAGCTCTGCGCAGTACCGCGCGTGCAGCCCATCCACCGCCGCCTCCCACTCGGGGCCCTCGCGCGCGCCCTGCCACTTGGCCACAGGGATGGGGGCGCCGACGACGGTGGTGAGGGGGCGCGCGAGCGGCAGCAGGCCGGGGTCGGCGAAGACGCCGTCGCCCCAGAAGAGGGGCTGGCGGCCGGGCAGGACCTTGTGGGAAACAGCCTGGAACTTGGCGCCTGATTGGGGTCGGTTGGGTGGGTGGGTGGTGGATTGGTTGGTTTGTGGGTTGGTGTGGTGGTCGGGCGGTTGGTTGGCAGGTGGGTTGGTTGGTTGGTTGGTAAGTGGGTACTGTAGGAACTGGGGGTGATGAGTAGGATGAGGGGAAAGGGCCCAGATGGCAGGGATGCATGCAGGAGGGGGGCAGGTTCGGGGGCCATGGCTGAAAGTGCGGAGGGGTCGCACGCGCAGGCAGGTGTCTTGAATGCCCACCAAGAGGGGCAGCTTGTATGCCGCTGCAAGTCGGGCAAAAAAAGCACCCTGTTCACTCCCCCGCTCCACGCTCACCCAGGCTGCCGGGCGGGGGTATGTACATGTGGAAGAGGTCCGCCTCACCAAAGCACGCCACGGGCACCTGCAGCGACACAAGTAGGCGCGCAGGCAGCAGGGCGCCACGCCAGGTAAGACGCAGCGAGCGCAGTTCGACACCCTGATTTTTCCGCACGCGCGCGGCGGCCGCGCCGCCCCTGGACCACAGGACCATGTTGGTGGGCCCCCCAAAGGATGCAGCGCCGCTGTCAGACAGAACTGCAGTAGGAGGCCACTCACCAGGGAGGCGCCCGTCTCCAGGGCGACCCGCACAAACCCGCGCCGCCGGTTGAGCAGCACCCGGTTCTCCCCCTCCACGGTGGCCACCGCCTCTGACGCGCCGCCGGGGAAGAGCACGACCGCGTTGCCGGGGCGGCGCAGCAGGCCGTGAATGGCGCGCTTGCTGCAGGAGCGGAGGCCGTGGAGGAGGCAGTATTCGCGCAGGAAGGGGGCCTTGAAGTTTGACTCCAGGGTGCAGGGCCACGCGCGCAGGCCTGCGTGGGGG